GACCTTTTTAAAGAGCTTATTTTGTACATCACATTGTGTGAGGCAAAAATCTCTATCTTCGAATATGAAGTTTTGAAATGTTTTTGACAAATTTTGAAATAATTGAGCAACACCCGAAAATGAAACTAGCGCCATATTTCTTACCGCTCCTTATTACATATGTGAAGAAATTTAAAGAAAAAATTTCCAACGGTTTTTGAGAATTTGTTTTTGTAAATTTCAATCACAAAATACGCAAACACTACTGTTTTTTTTTCTTCAAAAAATTGTACATGACCTTTCTTAAAGAGCTAATCCTGAACAACAGGCTTTGTCGGAGACAAAAGTTTCTATCTCCAATTTAAATGTTTCAATTTTTTTCCAAATTTTGAAAAATCGGCTAAGTCAACAAAATGAGACTTACGTCATTCTCTTAAATGTCATTTGTTTCAACAACAAAATATAAACAAAAAATTTGGAGCCTTTTTTTTTTATTTTGAAAATATTCCTGGAATTTAATATAAAGTACCCCTCAAAATACAAAAACGCGGTTTCAACTTCTAGAGTCCGCAAAATAAGCTAGAACGATTGTGGAATATCAATTTTGGAGAAAATCAGCTGAAGGGTTTGTGCGCTAACGTTGTGCACAGACGGACGGACGGACGGACCGACGGACGAACAAACGGACAGACGGAGGGACCGACGGACGGAAGGACGGGCGGACCGACGGACAGACGGACGTACCGACTGACCGACCGACCGACGGACGGGCAAACGTACAGTCGGATGAACAGACAGACTGGCGTTTTGCCGCCAATCAATTTTTCGGTATCAAGGACACACAAAACCTGGATTGTTGCTACACCACGTGTTAGAGGATTTTTGTCCTGTATTTAGCAACTGGTCCTGTATTTAGCACTTTTCCTAAGCAGGGCCCAGAAATGAGTTTTTGTGCCGAAAATTCGCCGTTTTCCAGCGAACGATTACGATATTTTCACTTCTCAGATTAGTAAGTGCGAGAAAGTTTTAAAAATCGTCATCATAGTGATTATTTGAAATTCACAAACCATCTTAGTAGATCGTTTTTATATACTCACCGTCTGCTGCATAAATGTGTCTGAAAAGCATACATGTATTCATTCATTTTTTTATAGTAAGTGAGTTCCGGGATAATGGAACTCGCAGCCTGTTCCCAAAGTGCTAAGGTATAGGAGAATGCATAACGTTCATCTGTTTTATTTCTTAAAATTTCTGAAACCTCTTTTCTACTATTCCAAATGCGTGTACGAATATTCGGTAGAATCTCTTGCAGAATCGTCGACTTGTCATGAGCCGGTACTAACACAGTCATATTTTCTTTTGCCAGTTGATCGAAGGTGTCGATCTGTTCTTCATATTGTGGATTCGTAATAAGGTCAAACAGGCGGCCCTGGAACACAAAAGTCACATCCAATATAGACTGATGAATAGAATCAGGTTATTAATGGCTTAACTACAAGCAAAATATGCAAGCATACATGACCTAAAAATTTTATAAATATAACATTAAACATTACATTTAGTAGACCACATTTATCATAAACGTCGTGTTGATATTTTTATATTCTCGCCTTACGAATACTTCGAAAGAAGAGAAATTTATGTAAATGTGTGCCAGAAAACGGCGAATTTTCGCCAGAAAAACCTATATTGCAGGACCCTCGCAACGAAAAAGTGGATAAATTCTGTTGCTAAATGAAAAAAAAAACTCTAACACGCGGTGTAGCCGTTTTGTTGGTTTTCGATACCGAAATATCGATTGACGGCAAAACGTCCGTCTTGTGGGCAACACTAGCACCTAAACTGTTAAGCCGATTTTCTTCAATATTGATATCTCCCAATTGATCTTAATTAACTCGTGGATTTGACAGTTTCAAACGGATATTTTCATTTTTGAGGGTACTCTACATAAAGCCCCCCAAAAAAAAATTCAATATTTTTTTAAAAACGGTATCAAATTTTTGATCAAATTTCGAATATTGTCTTCGGATAGCATAAAGAAGGCTTAAGAGAAGTGTGATGGTCTCATGTTAGTTGAATTCACAGATTTTTACTCTCTCGCACTTTCTCACATAAGAAGAGAAAGTATTTTAATCGTGCGTTGGAAAATGGCGAATTTTCGACATAACTCTTATTGCCGGGTCCTGATAAGGAAAAAGTGAAAAAATCCAGTTGCTAAATTTAGGGGGGGGGGATCCTTTATTACCTGGTGCAGCCAGAATCCACGTTTTGTGAGTCTTTGCTACCAAACAATTGATTGACGGCAAAACGTCTATCCGTCCGTCCGTCCATCTGCACACAACGCTAGCGCATAAACCGTATAGTCGATTCTCAACAGTTTTAGCTGATGTCCTGGAATTTGAAACCAATAAGGCTCCCAATTTTTTGATTAAATTTTGTTGTTGAATAGTGCAAAGGACGTTTAAGAGAGTGGTTCAGGTTTCATTTTTGTTTACGAGTTTTCGAAAATTGGAAAAATAAATGAATACTTCAAAATTGGAGATTGAGATTTTTTTAGACAAAGTCTGTTGTACTAAATTGATTCTTTAAAAATGGCCATAAACAATTTTTTGATAAAACGAGTGATTTTCGAGTATTTTGTGATTGAAATTTAAAAAAAAAAATCATAAAATCGGGTCCAATTTTTTCTTTACAATTTCGTCACGTATGTAATAATATACGGTAAAAAATATTATGCTTGTCTCATATTCGGCTATTGCTCGTTTTATGGAAATTAAAAATACGTTTCAAATTTACAAAATCGAAGACATATTTTTGCCTGTAACAAACTATGTTGTACTACAAAATTAGCTCTTCAAAAATCATCATATTCAATTTTTTTTGAAAACAAGTGGTTTTTGCGTATTTTGCGATTGAAAATAACAAAAAAATATCAAAAACCACTCAAAATTTTTCTTTTAAATTTGTTTCATATATATAATAAAAACATAAAGAAATATGGCGTCTGTATCATTTTCTGATATTGCTCGTTCTTTTCGAAATTACAAAAAACTTTTCAATACTATAAAATTGAAAATGGAGATTTAGACAGATCTTAGACAAAGTCTGTTGTACAAATATGCTCTTCAAAAAAGGTCATGTACAATTTATTTGAGAAAACGAGTAGTTTTACTTCATTTCTGCTTGAAATTAATGATATAAACATAGGTTTCACAGCAACTAAGGGCAACGAGATAATTTGAATGATTGATACAAAAGTAGTTAATTTAATTTTAATTATAATTTTCAATTGAAAATTCCAGTATTAATTCTATGTTTGCTTTCTCGCACTTATACTTTACTTCATTCCACAATTTGTATTCTCAATTGATGTACGAGTACATGAAGTTGACGTATAAGTACATTTAGTTTTTGCACAAAATGTTATACTATTTGTAATGTGCAGGGATGGTCAGTATTTAGACACTTGTATTTGGAGTTTGGCATTTTTTGGCATTTTAATAACGTTTTGTATTTGAAAAACTTAATTTTGGAGTTTCTTCGGCGCATACTTTAGGGATGTATTTAAATACATAAATTAGGTGTTTTTAAATAAAAAGAAGTACTTAAAATACTTCACATTCACTTCAGGAGAAGGAGAAGAAAAAGAAGGAGGAAGATGAAGAAAAAGGAGAAGGAGGAGGAGGAGGAGAAGGAAGATGAAGAAGGAAGAAGAAGGAACAGGAGGAGAAGCAGAAGTAGGAGACGGAGAAGTTGGAGAAGAAGAAGGAAGGTAGTCCTTTGTAGGTTTTATATTACATTGGGCAATTATATTGGGCTTATTGTCTGATTACTTGTTTGATAAATCAGTAGTTTTAAAAGGAAATTCTACTTGTTGGTGTTAGACAGTTTTTTAAATTATAAGCAATTTTTATTTCATGTTTTACAAATAGGTATTAAATAATTTCTATGTAATCCCTGCCTGTCTTGATCTTGATATTGCCATGTTGTCATGTTGGTATTCCGCCAATATGATGTCAACTCCCCCCCCTCCATATTATGAAAGATTCCGCAAAAATTGTTTGTACTTATTGCCTTTAAGTTGCAAAGTAAATTTAACACACACTTTTTTATAAATTACTATATTTATCCAATATATTAATCGCGTTGAATCCTATTGACTAATAGTGGCGTTCTAGAGTAATGCAATTTGAAAACCGTAGGAATTTCGCCATATTTGAAATATTTCCAGTACATTATCAATAGTGATGCACATCACGCCTGTAAGAATGGAAGGTAGGTACCTTGTGAATAAATGCTTAAGTGTGCATGTCTTCCTTATACATCCGTCTTTACAATGACTTCCGTGTATTCTTGATTTAATATTTTAGTGAGAATTCACGTAACTTGAAAATGTTTGTAATTTTTTGTAGAGTTGAATTGCGATGGATCGAAGTCAGATATTTTCGTGTATTTCTCTCATCAAAAAAGTGAATAAAACCATGCCAATGCTACAATTTATTTCTATAACTGTAATTGTATCCAGGAACTGTTTTGTACTTCAGTGTAAAATGAAGATTACTTTTAAATAATTGTTAACTGTTGCGAACGTAACTTTTTTTTCACGCATATTCTGAGTCTTAAGAGCATATATTCGCTATTTTAAGAGCATGTTTGCTTTAATATTTTAACCTTTTCAGTGCGTGAAGTTTCGGTGTCTAATAAACATATTTTAAAGAAAAATATAAGGACGCAGATAAATGTTAAAATACAGAAACGAACAAATTAATCCAAACAGAGAGAATTATCGTTATATTTTCATAATTAAGTAAGACACTTTTGGTCGCAGCTGTCTATTTATAAAATCCCATCGACTCATTGTTGCGCTATCTTCATCTTCATTGTTAGGGTGAATGATGAAAACTGATCAATAAATTAAAAATATTAGAGACAAGAATCTAGTTGAAAAGATCAACGCGTTGATCTTCCAACAGATCCTCGCACCGTGTCACACAACAAAGAAAGCTTTAGTTTTTTTTAAGTACAATACAAAAATAAACCTTGTTAAGTCACTTGTCAGTGTCTGGTTTCGTGAAGAAGAATTCAGGTAAGTGTTTAACTTTGGTAGAATAAATGCCCAAGAGTTAAAAGTAAGTTAACTATAGATGAAGACATATACATTTTTAAGTACATGAAAAGTTTACGTTATCCGGAGTAAAAATAAAATGGACTTAAGGACAGCGTGTGTTCGGATTAATTTGTTCGCTACTGTAAGTAACTGACATTCAAATGTATTCCTGTTTCATTTGTCAAAGTAAGAAATGATTGCTGCACATGACTATCGAAATGAATGCAAATATACATCACCGGCGCTTTATTTCAATTGGACGTTTTCAATAACAGCTAAAGTGTTAGTGGCGCAGAAAATGTAATTTTTCAATATTATATAATTGCATCCAGTAACCCGAGAGTGTATGCGCACATACTCGAGTCAACTACCTTATATCGCCCAAAGTAATTTTTTTGAAAACTTTTCTCAAATTTTCGGTTTCCTAATAATAGAACTGAAATATTGCTTTAAGAATACTACAGAAGAGTGACACCTCGTCCAAAGTGGCAACTTTCATTAACAAAAATTGGAGACGTTGTTAAGAAAATGGTGTTTAAGCGTTATTGTAAACGAGAAGTTTGGCGCACATTTTCACATAATATTTTTGGGTTTTCGAAAAACGTCATCAGAAGTCAATTGAAGCACCTTAATTCATATATAAAATAGCGTTTACAAAACATTCTAAATGTTCACATTAAGGGCGTGAGAGATTAAAAAACACAACATTTGTGTAATGTTTTGAGAAAAAAAAACAAAGAATACTGTAAAATTAATTTCATGTCTGATTCAGTATAATTAACACTCCGTACGAAAACTTTGAAAAACATCGAAGCAGTTTTTTGAGAAAACTTTTGAAACGTTTCTGAAAATGCGGAATTTTAAGCAAATTTTCACAGAAAATTTTGTTTTCGAGAAACAACAAAAACTATTACACAAGTAATAGAAAACTTAATAGAATGGAAAGAAGAACAGCAAGGATTCAGAAGAGGAAGATCATGTAATGATGCGATCTTCATTATACGACAAATTGTTGAGAAATCCCTGGAATTCGACAAACCTGCATATATGTGTTTCGTAGACATGTAGAAAGCAATTTACAGCGTAGGCCTTGTAGATATAGCAAGATTTTTAAAGAAAGAAATATCCCCTGCAACCTTATTAAACTCATAGCAAATATATATATGAACACCAGAATGAAAATAAAACATAACGAACAAATATCCTAAGCCATAACAACAGCTCAAGGAATAAAGACAAGGAGACTCCCTTAGCCCAATACTCTTCAACCTGGTAATGAAACACATCCTAAACAATCTTTCGAACAAAAAAGGATATTACTTCGGCTCTTATAACAAACTCAATCTGTTATGCAGACGATACAGTCTTAATTGCCGAAAGCAAAGGTGATTTACAACGCCTCCTGTTTCAATTCCACAAGACATGCCAGTCATTCAACATGAGGATATCCACACAAAAAACTAAATGCATAACAATCTCGAAAGAGCCATTGAGATGCAAACTAGCTATAAACGAATACCTAATAGAGCAAGTGATGAAAATACAATATCTAGGCATAACAGTAACTAGCGATGGCAGATCTATAAAAGAGGCTAAGGAACAAAGCATTAAAGCCAATAGAATAGCAGGCTGCCTCAACCACTCGATATGGCAAAATCAATATCGAAGAAAAGACACTAAAATTAGAATATATAAGGCAGTAATTAGGGCCAGTATTGTCATATACAGCTGAAACAAGAGCAGACTCAAAAAAATATGGCAAATGATGGAAGTGTCGGAAATGCGGGTGCTGAGAAAAAGTACAAATAAAACGATAAGGAATAAAGAACCTAATATTAATATAAGACAGTCTTGCCAAATAGATATAATCTCAGACTGGGTTCGAGAAAGAAGAAAGAAATGGAATGAACATATAGACAGACTGGTGAAAGTGACTAGAGATAGAAGATCGGAAAGAAGAAGAAGAGTAGGACGTCCAAGAACTAGGTGGAAAGACATTTTGTGAAACAAGACAGCATGAATATAGTGCCAATTTATAAATATGACTAGACATATGTAATGTATCAGGTTTTTTAAAATTTTAATTAAGTATCCTTTGCAAAGAAACAGGCTCTAGCCTAAAATAAAAGTAAGAAGAAGAAGAAGAAACTATTAGACGTCATTTAAAACACATGCACACATAAATACAATTTTGTGGACAAATCGCCGCTAATGTTCATTAGCGTTGTAAGAGATTAGTAAATAAAATTTAATTTTTGTAATTATGGAAAAGGCAACAAAAATAGAATAGAGCTAAATTATGCTTAAGTCGTCTTATAATGCTTAGGGTACATTAAGCACTATCCTAACCAAAAGTTTAAATAAACAATTTGGAACAGTTTTTGAGAAAATCTTGTTTTTATAATTATCTAATATTGCATATATTTCACGCAATATTGCGCTAACTACTAAAGTTTTGAAAAAAATGTATATGACGTTAATGAAAAATCTAATCTATAAAAAAATTTCATTTGAAGGTAAATTATTTATCTTTAATTTTGTATTTGCATGAAGACGCCAAACATTTTCCAACTTTTGAAATTTTCCTGAATTTAGAGTTAACCTTGAAAATCAGATCTATGTCACTTGGATAAGTGTATCTCACTCGACTCTTACAAGAAATTTAAAGAAAAAAATTGGAAGCCGTTTTTGTGATAGGTCTGTGAGATGAACTCAAAATTATCTCGATCCTGTACTTGCACATATTTGCCCGGGGTGTTTCTGGTCCCCACCTTAATTCTTGTACCATTGTTCCGTGTATCCATTTGCTCAATTCATTTCACAGATTGCACACTTACCTCAAGATTACACGGATTACGCACAGGCAGGTCAAGAGATTACGGAGAGATTATGGTTTGCATGTAGCACACAAGGGATTCGAAATGCCCCCAACGCCTAATACACCGCTGTATACATTGATGTCTTACGTGAGTTTCGACCCCACGGCCTCAGTGTTTTTGGCTCTCCTGTACAAAGCCTGTCTGTTAGGGCCGAGTTCCTTGAGTTCTTATAAACGCTTTGTGTTTTTCCTTATAGAGTATAGGCTATGTGATCTGTTCCGATGCCCTTTATCTGCTCTATCTAGCAATGTCCCTTCTTTTTTTCTTTTTAGTAGTCTGTTTGTTGACAAAATTAAAAATGGGAAACTGTGAATGATCTTGTTATTTTTATGAAGTACTGTTGTCTCAATACACATACTATATGAAACGTAAATTAAATGAGTTAATTATCTGATACGTGCGTACGATGATGGAGCCCGAGTGACTGCCAGGATAAGTGGTTCCTCCTGTTCGCCAACGGTCTCCAATCTGGAAGGCGGTTGAGCGGACAGAGAGAATCTGGATCCTCCGACTTGAGAATTAAACTCCTCTGAAGAGTGGAAAGAGGGAAGGCTGGATTCCTAGAGCTATGGAGGAAGCAACCTAAGGGAGGGACGACCCTGAGCAAAAGCTCTGGTCCTCCAGATTGGGGGTTGTGCGTCGGGTTAGTTGTCCGTCAATGTAAACCCTAAATATACTTTCAACACGCTTAGAAGCTTCTGAAATAACCACGATACGATGATAAAGCAAGAAATGAAAATGGACAAGAATAAATAGACTTACAACTTGGAATGTAATGGAAACCGGAAACAAAAATGTGCTGATTAGAACACTGGAAGAACAAAAGATAAACATTGCCGTAGTGCCTGAAAAGAAAAAAAACTAAATGGCTCAAGAAATGCTGGAAGTTATGCGATTTTCTACAGTGATATAGACGATCAAAAGGAAAGGCAATATTTAAATATGAAATGTGAGAACAAAATATTAAAGAATTGGAATACGTGACCGATGGAATTACCACAATGTAGCGCATGATCGCGGACACCTGTCATAATTGGTGCTAATGTCCATGTCAAGGACGCTGGCAAGAACTGGAAGAGGGAACTGACAGATGTTACTTAACACTCCAGATAACCTAGACAAATACAAACAAGCGAGGTACTCATTATCAATACATTCTTGGCTATCCGGGATGAGCCGCGTCTCGGTCAATTGTACTGAGGCCATCTTGCTGTGGCCTTTTTCAGAGCTATACTGCTCAACTCATGATGAATGGTATAAATGCCAGAGTTGGAAGTAAAGCAGTCCATGGATTTAAAAGAAGTTTCGGAGAAGAAGCAATACATTAAAATAAAATGAAACTTTGGGAATTCGTAGTTTTTAACAACCTACAAGTAAAGGATTTCAAAACAAGTAATGTATCTCTCCATATATGTAATATATACACGAGGTAACGTCTAAACTTCGAAAATAAGCTCTTAGAACAATTTTAAGTATATTTTGTCTAATAAACTATTTTAACATTCCGAATGGCTAAGCCGCTACGAGCACCACAAAGTTGTTAAAAAATGCTTTCTAGGGGAAAAAATTGCATAACAGAAGCATAGAAAATCGCTGGAAACCTGTCAATTTTTTATTATTTACAAACGATAATATATTCAGAATGAAAAATTAACACAGGAATAAAAAAGTCGTACTGTGTAAATTGGGTACTTTTTATTTGTTATTTTTTCTTTCTGAAACAATGTATTCATTTCTTTTGTAATTAATAAACAATTTACATGTTTCGAGAGAGTTTCTATGCATCTGCATTGCAATTTTCTTTCCTAGAAAGCATTTTTTCAAATACATTTTTGAGGGTTTATTTTTTAGGGCTCAACTATTCGGAATATTCAAGTAGACTGTCATTAGACAAAATATTCTTTAAATTGTCTTAGACCTTATTTGTGAAGTTTCGACGTTTCTTTCCCGGACACTCTGTATATATTGGTATGTACCAGAGCAGTGAACTCCGACACCGTGTTTCCTTGAAACTTGGCACATTACGTTTTTTTAGGCAGAAGGCTTTTATGCGGTTATTTTTTTTTGTAACACTAAATATCGCAGCACCGCATGATGCGCTCAATTTCAATTCAATTTCCGTCGAAACTGAGCTCTCCCTAGATGTCCTCCTAGCTAGTCGTTGCCTTGTGGCGCTGGGCGAGGCCGAGGTGGAGAGGACAGGAAGCGCGCGCGAGAGAGAGAGAGAGAGAGAGAGAGAGAGAGACTGAGACAGGGTCAGTCAGAGACACAAAGGCAGAGTAGGAGAGAGACAGACGCAGAGAGAGAGAGAGTGAGAGAGAGAGACAAAGAGAGGTACAGAGAGGAAGAAATCTAGAGACGTTTACACACACGGCTGACAGAGACATCAGAGAGAGAGAGAGAGAGAAACAGTGACAGTGAAAAAGAGACAAAGACTTAGAGAGAAATAGGTAGAGGCAATGAAACGAAGACGGAGAGACAGACGCAGAGACAGAGAGGGAGAGAGACAGACAAACGCAGGGGGAGACAGAAAAACACAGCGGGGGACAGAGACAGTGATAAAGAGACGGCCAGATTTCCAGTCCTCTTAGAGACAATCATGAGCCGTGCCTGCGAGAGGACGTGTCTCCAGATAAATAGAAGATGCAGCGACTGTTATTAATTCCAAAACAGGAAGGGTCTCATAGAGAAAGCATCGTCCTACCGGCCTCTATACTTGATCGACACGGCTGAGAAAGTACTGGAGCGATTAATACGCAGTCGTGTGGCACAGCGATGGAGAGGAGGGCTATCGGACAACCAATGCGCATTTAGAAAGGAGAGATGTACAATAGATGCCGCTGAATGTGTAGTTGACATAGCCCGGAAAGCAATACGAGGCAAAAGATGAAGAAGGGGTAGGAAAATGTACTGAGCTAGTCACCCTAGATGTTAAGAACGCCTTCAATTGGGCGAGATGGAAATGTATTCTAAGAGCCCTGCAACATTTTTAGAGTGCCGCAGTATCTGGCTGGAGAAAAAGAAGAAAAAAATTGACCTGTAAAATAATAATTTCTGTAGTATTAACAAAACTGATTTTAGTGTAAGTTAGTAATGCCGAAGTGCAAGTAAGTTAACTTAAGGAGTAGAATGTAAAACTTAGCTGTAAGAAAAGCTCCTCCTCTAGCTGCTTAAGCCGCAAGGCAATGTAAAAAATTTAAAGTAAATAAATACACTTTCTCCACAAGGTTACCGTGGAGGGAACAAAAGAAACAGTATCTAATTATGATCATCGACAGCTAATTCATGGGAAGAGCGCCCATGTTCCGCACCGAGGATGGTCAACAGACCCATAGAGTTACCGGAAACGTTCCATCTTGGGCTCCCTACCGTGGAATATAGTGTACGACGGCTTTCTCAGAATACAGACGCCGGAAGGCGCCGAGAACATTGGATTTGCCGACGAAGAAACACTCACTATAGTGGCCAATATAGAGAAAGTGGTTAAAATCACCAATGAAGCCAAATCTTTGACCCGCCAATGGTTAACCTCTGTCGGCTTGCATTTATCGGACCACAAACCTGAGGTAATTCTCCTCACAAGTAGGAAGGCGACAGAATCCATCACCGTTTCAGCGAGAGACAAAAACATCCATTCGCGTCCGTATCGGAAGTACTTGGGAAAGATGATTGATGCGAGGCTAAGATTTAGCTATCACCTACTGTATGTCAGCGATAAGGGGGCAGAAGCGTTGATGGCCTTGACGAGGCTAATATCGAATGTTGGAAGACCGAAGTAGGAGCGGAGACGACTTCTGTCAAATGCCACCACTTCGATCCTGCTGTATGCTGCTCCAATATGGGCAGCACAATAAATACGAGACGATAGTATCAGTGGGCTCTAGATGGCTCTCGCTTATCGCACAGTCTCGTATGATGCAGCTTGTGTAGAGTCAGGCATGCCTCCAATCGGACTTGTGGCAAAAAGACGCAGGCTCTACCAACGCCTGTGTCTTTTTACCACTAGAAATTGATACTTGTAGAAGAGCGTCGAGAACATAAGAAGAAACTCATCTTGTACTTTTAGTTCTTGTAAAAGCTTTTGCGAATACCTCTATGGGAAATTTTAGAGCGCGGAAGTTTTCCAAGACACCTGATTTCTTTTGAAGCTATAAGAAGTGCATACTGAGAAAGTTCTCTCGTAGGAATAACCTGGTAGGCGGCGGCGACGACGACGGCGGAGGCGAGCAGCGCGGCGGCCAGCTGCAGGCGCTGCGGCGTGGCGCGCACCCTGTCCTGCGGGGCGCCCCCGCACGAGGAGAAGGCGCGCAGCGCGGCGGCGGCGCTGGCGGCCAGCGACTCGCCCGCCACCACGCGCCACGCCAGCGCGTACGCTCCCCCCGTCCCCAGCAGCAGGAGCCAGATGCGTAGGGAGAACACGCGCAGCGGCAGCGACCACGCCGGCAGCGGTTCCGCAAATGGCACAAGCATAATGTTGTAGTCTTTCTCTCCGGAGGATACAATGTCCAGCAGATGTGTGAATCCGTACACAATGGGCATGTACCTACGGTATTGTGGGACCAAATCAATTGTCCCCTGAACCAGCTTGTTTTCTTGAGTCTCCAATATGTTGTAACCAGTTTCCTAGCAAATAAAATGTCTGATGAAATATGGTTCTATACTGAGTATAAAATATGTGTGAAGATCATTGAATGTGAAACGTAAAAATGTAGTACGTTATAAATATGTAAATGTTTGATTATTGCCTTAGGAGTGCAATTGTGTGTATGTATTTTGCGCGACAGCCCATGAACGGGCTCAGGCCTACCGGCGACGTCCCTGCCTCGCGGTTATGGGTTAAGGGGGTGCTGGGACATTGCAAGGAAAACGCACGCTATAGTATTTGCTCGACCGGGTATTGAACCTAGAGCCGCGTAGTTGAAAGCGAGCTAGCCTCTCTACTCCGTCTCTGCCCACCTGTTCTATGGATTTGGCTCCGAACGCCTTCTTACCGTTCGCAAACCTGTAGAATTGGCTTGGTTGCAAGAAATGCGTGTCCAATGAAGGCATAATAGCAGCAACAAACCTCTAGTATACATCTTAAAAGA